ATAACAAACTATACTAAGTCTACAGGGAGCATTAATAACAACATCAAATAAATACAACATAGTTTTTTACCTACCTAATCGTTGGTAGCCTAATGGGCTATTCCAGCTACTCTCAGAGTAGTAGGTGAGCTCACAGGTAAAACCTGGATCAATTCACTAACACTTGCGCTAGCGAGAATAGTGCTTCGCTGAACCTACCCCGAAGCGGAATCGCGACCCATAGAAGATCCGGCGAGTAACTCAGTGGGTTGTGTTTATGAGCTAGGTTGTACGTGGTACGTGGATTTTTAGGATCCGACAAGGCATGTTTTGGGCGACGGCGGCTTAGGGTTGTTCCATCGCTTGCGTAAGATATATAGTTAGAAGCGCCCACAATAAAAGATTTAACATGACGCGCCACATTTTCAAAGAAGCGTTCTGGCCCCGCGGCCGATTACCTAGCCATTGGTGTGATCAAGTAACCGCTCTGACTGGGTTGCCAGTCGGAACCGCCATTCGAGAAGTTGAGAACCAGACGAGATGGAAACAGCTCACGAGACAGGCCACGGTCAAGTTTCAGGGACACGACCTTCAGCAATGAAGAAAGTGATGAAGAAGAAGAAGAAGAAGAATCAGTCGTCATAAAGATCTACATTCATATACATCACATACTCATATAGAACGGTGCTCCGACGGCTATCCTACAGATTGGATAATCTGGAGAGACTTTATGTGTGTACGGACCGCGTGAGAAAACATTACATAGGTTATAACGTAACGTATCGAAGTTTTGTAGTGTCCCCTTTTTACGAAGGAACTATACTTCGCTTGCAGACAATGTGGCTACTAAATAACAATGCAGGTCGGTCGCGGCCTATACTAATGAAGGGACGGAACGTCATCTCTGTGTCGAGGGTTCAAATGAATAACCTACAAATTAAAAAAGTAGCACAATATATGAAATGGTGAAAGGCTATTCTTCTTCTTCAGCTATTTGAATTGGGTAAGCATAATTGAAGTTCAATTAAAAACATCGAATTGTTGATACTAATGCCGAATAAAACAGACCTTTAATTACAAAGATAAATTTCGCGTATTAAGTAAAATGTCGGTTAAACCAAATTGCCTTTCACCCCTCGATATAAATAGATAGGCACGTACCGAAGAAATAGAAACTATTTCAAATCAATCTACTGCTTAATACAGTTACAATCAATCGACTATAACGTTTTGAATTTAAATTGACTACAAAACAAAATAATATCCTCCTATCTTGTACGCACTGTATAAAACAAAATTTATATATTAAGATAACGTGAATGATGATATTGCAGTATTTAGTATATTCATATTTCACACTATCGCGGTAAAAGAAGAGTAGATTGTATAATATTTTATCAGCTAACATGGCATGATAAAACTTATGAAAAGCCGTATCATCATAAACCCACATGCATATGGGTTTTTTTTTTCTTTCATTCTTTTCCTATTCATGGTGAGTCTGCGCCCATAGACGACAGCTTTTTTTTCCTACCTAAACTGATAGCCTCGAGAAGCTATTTCAGCGTAACCTTAACTAGTAGGTGAGTTCACGGGGCTCGAACCTGACGACGTCGCTTACCCTAGCAAGAGCCGTGCTTCGCAGAATCTACCACCGGATCGGAAACGCAACCCACTGAGAAGATCCGGCGAGAAAATCAGAGGGCTAGACGACAGCCTGAATATGACGTTACACCGCTGCTCGTTGGACGCTGCGAATGCTCTAACTCCGCTGTCCTTTCCTTAGCGAATCCTGTGATTGTTACGCGTCTCAGTACGTACGTCGCACCTCGTGCATGGCACAAGGTACTTCGGGACTTAAGTTTTGATTATTGTGATGATTTGTTGTTGAAAAGAGTGGGAGTAGACGCATTTTAGCATACGGCGTAACGTAACACGCTCGCGGCGAATAGTACCTACATTACGTCTAGTAACATCGGTCAGTACCTCAAACAAGTCGAATCAAATATATTCGAAGCTAAATGTCTTAACGAAGCACTGAAATGCGAATTGATCCGTAGCAGATGGTAAATCTGTATCTGAATATTATGCTAAGAATGATTTAGTTGTGCTTCTGTTGGTATTTTTTATTTTGGAAAGCCGCAACACCCTTTTGAGACATGAGGTAGAGTATCGATTGTATTGTATAACGGTTAGCTCTGCCTCGAAATAGAAACGCATAACGCCTTTTTTTTTTTTTTTTTTTTTTTTTTTTTTTTTTTTTTTTTTTTTTTTTTTTTTTTTTNAACACTTTGTCGGCAAATGTTCCACGAACACAAAAATAACTAAACAAAACAAATAAAAGCTTCCAGGAAACACACTTGGTCGGCAGATGTATCACGAACACAGGCCGCGCGAACAATGGCCGGGCTAACAAAAGCCGGGCGAACAAAGACCGGGCGATCGAGTGGACAATGAGCACGTCCGCACGTGACGGGTGCCTCTATCGGAATGCATAACTGCTCCAGGACTGAAATATGTATGATATTGACAAATACCCGTGCGGCCTTACAATACGCCCAATCGCGAAAAGTAGAACAAAGAACAAATTGTCAATAAAAACTTTATAAATGATTAGTTTTTAGTTTAAAAAAATTTGGTTAATAACAAGCGAATGGTTCCGAAAAACAGAGTTCATAAAATTAAATAAAAGACGAAATAGAAGAAGTAGCCGTCACAGACTGCAATAGTTGTGAAATATTCAAAGCGTCGTAGATACATTAACATCATATTGAGCATCATATGGAGATTGAGCAGGATTATAACAGCTGCAGTACTGCTGAAGAGAAATCAGGTAGCGAAGACGTGTTCATAAGCTTTAATGACTTCCATGATGAAAAACATCTGAAGTATGAAACCTAGGTCTATGTGAAAAACAAACATCCTTGAACCAACAATATAACATATTTTTAAATCTGTCAAATTAAATTCGATTACCGTACGTACACGTTTGGACAGAATGTGAAATTGCCTTTATATTTCTGCGTAATGTTGCAATTCCTAACATTACTTTTCTCCTTTAAAATAGGGTGAGACACGTGCGATCTCTCTTTAGTGTGAGTTGGAAGACAGCTTATTCTTTAATTTGCAATTATGCCTCCAGTAAATTTTATGTATTATCTTTTATTGCCTTAAAAAGTAGACAAGCATATGACCCATTAAAGTAGCGTCAGAAAGTTACTTCGACAAAGCGGCATGACACGGTAACACTCTTAGCGTGGCGCTAATTTCAAGTACGACCCAGGCAACGGAGCAACGTAAAGTCGCCGTCGTCTGAAACATGTCTTTTCGGATCCTCAGGATTCACACTCGGTGCTTTTAGGCTATTCAAGCACTGAGCGTCCACTCGTGAAGAGTTCTACGATTGAACTAACTAATAGACACAACCCACTGATTTTCTGACCAGATGTTCCGAGTGGGTCGCGAGTCCGATCCAGTGGTAGATTTTGCGAAGGAGGTAGGGATTGGATAACCTAGAGAGAGTTTATGTGCCCGAACGCCCATTAAAATTTTATTGCTGAAGTGTTTTACTTATTGGTGTGTTGTTTTTACTTGGTGATATTTATTGCATTTTATTACTGGTGGTAGGACCTCTGGTGAGTCTGCATGGGTCGGTACCACCGCCCCGCCTATTTCTGCCGTGAAGCAGTAATGCGTTTCGGCTTGAAGGGTGGGGCAGCGTTGTAACTATACTGAGACCTTAGAACTGATATAACAAAGTAGGTGGCGCATTTACGCTGTAGATGTCTATGGGTTCCAGTAACCACTTAACACCAGGTGGGCTGTGAGCTCGTCCAACCATCTAAGCAATAAAAAAAATATTTAAAAAATGTAATTCTCACTCATTTGATTCTAATTAATGTCATAGTAAATTTCATTTTATTGAAATAGTTCCATGGCTTCGGCTTTTTGTTCCCAAAAATTCAGCTGTATGTCCTTAGCTTCCTTTGCCAGTTCAATGAAAATTTAAGCAAAAAACAAAATGTTTGAAAGAAGTTTGAAAGTGTAGAATGGCTCACTGAATTTGGCCCCCATTTTTTGGTTTTCGGATTTTTTTTATTTTTAATTATTTGTTCATCGTTTGTTAATTAATGCTCGAATGTAAAAATTGTTTGTTCGTCTTTTATTTATTTGTAACTAGCTGACCCGGCAGGCTTCGTTGTGCCTCAATCGATAAATAAACTTTTGTTTAAAATAAACTTCAAACTCGACTTCAACAACGATTAATTAAACAAATGATCACCCTTATGTTGGCTCCCCTTACTAGATATCTTTATTTTTATTACTCAGATTATTTAATTTTGATCAATTATCGTTTGTTCGATGACTATTGGTGATTGTTCGATCATAAAAACAATTAAATTCCCAATTATTAATTATTTTATATCTAATAAGCAACCATCACCTCACGCCTACATTGCGCATGCGCCGGTTTTGTCAGTCAGCTGGCAATGGCCGTATTTACTAGCGTTTTGTTAACAAGTGCGTTTATACTGTCTAATTATTTCTTATGTTCTTACTTACTGTCTTAAGTTTCTGACTTTTTGGCGGGAACGCGAGGAGTGAAGTTGTGTGATTTGTTTTATTTGGTCTATTTAGTCTTTCTTCGGGTTTAAATGTGTAATAATGGTGGTTTATTAACTGTTTTATATCTGTGAAAGTGCACAAATGTGGGAAAATGAAACAAAGCCGCTGGACGTAACTTCTCGGGATCTTCCAAAAGGCCACTGAAAAAATCTTAGTAAATGACCACCATTTTACTAAGATTATATTTCATCCCGTATCATCTCATTTCATTTCATTTCATTTCATCCCAGTTCATTAATGTCTCAAATTAATCATCTTCATTTCATTTCATTTCACAATTTTTCATAAAAATAGGAATATGAATTAAAATAAGACATGACTTATAGGTCTTAGTTACCAGGTCATAAAATCCTTTAAAAAAAAAATCTTAAGTTTCTTATTTTTCTTACTTTTCTTAATCCAATGTGAAGTGAAGGCAAGTGGATTGTTGAATTAAACGTATTAAGAACTGAACATTGTGCTAAGAAAACCAATTAACTATTATCGCACAAAATTATTGAAATATGGAGGAAACACACATTAACAATTTTGCTTTATCCTTCACCAATAACGTTGTGAGTATACAATAATATTATCTACACCAATTTGAATAATCACACATTTTATTTATTTACATAGGTACTTTCGTGAACTTATCGGAATTTATCGCTATTGAATATTTAAAAATAACTCTTTAAATTAAATTTTCGACAAATTTTCCAAACTACCCTACGGTTTATTTTTATAAAATAAATTGATTCACAATAAGGAATTATTTCGTATTTGTATGCCATACTTTTAGCACTTTCCGCCAAGTTTCGGCATAAATTATTGTTACTGTGACGACTATTCATAAAAGAAACCATAATTTTTTCGATTCCTTTTACCACATGCTATTCCTGTGTGTATTAAAACAAGAACAAATAGTTTCAATTGTGGCATTAAAAGTTGTGCTTGAAATAAACAACAGAATAAATGTTAATAAGAAACTATTTAAGATAAATTCAATTAAATAATATATATGTATATATGAAGATAGGGAAGTCTACATATAAAGGGAAGATTTTTCTCTGAGAGGGTGAAATTGCTTGGGAAACAGATGGTCTGCGATCTAATCTTGAAAATTTTATAAGTGAGATTCGGGCATCTCCCAAATGGCATATGTTCTTTATGAACTACCTTCTCCATGCCTAAAATCAAATAATAAATTTATATACAGTTATGTATCTACCGTTATTTATCTACCATTTATTTGTTCTCAGGTACTTAAATTTAATTTATAAAAACAAATTTATATTACATACGACTTTAGTATGTGAAACAAAATTAAGTATAAGTGCCCTCCTCCTCCTCCTCCTCCTCATGTCCATAATCCTCAATGCTGACAGTCGTGGCCTCCTTTAATAACTTTCTCCTGGACTATCCTTCGCCAGCCCTGCCTATCCTTAGAAGTAAGGTTGGCATAGTGTACTGAGGTGTAGACCGTATCTGGTCCAACCAACATATTAGACTTCTGCCTCTGGGCCCTCTTCTGCATATCATGCCTGTCACCAGCATCTTTTATAAATTGTCACCTCTCTTTCTGGCAATATGTCCAAAGACCTCAAAACTCCTCTATGTGCCCATAAGCATCAAAGCTATTTAAATTCTGTAAAAATTCATTTAATAAAAATTGGTAATCCTTTTGTAAACATTCAAAAAGTAAAATCAGTTTCGTAGAATTACAGCATGATGCTGTCCAAATAAGGTTTAGCTTTATTTTAAATTCACACTATAAGTATTCAATGCAACTTCACAGAAAACTTGTTATTAGATAATTTACATTTTCCTTCAAAGAGCCCTGGAGTATATTATGGAAGAGACTATTCAGACTGAAAATATCCATGAAAAGGTTGAGATTGCCAATTAGTTTCATCACTTTTTTCATCCATAGTGGACTGATTAACATACTTTTATTAGCTCCATAACAACTGGTGTAGGCTATTTGCCTTAAGTGAGTTTTTGTAACTGTACAAAAGAACAATTTAAATTTTAAAAGTTGAAAACTATAATGACAAAAAAACTTCTTCAGTTATTATAATGGGGTCAACATAATTGAAGTTCAATTAAAAATTTAATTTAAATAGACCAGCTATTACTTACTTATATAAAGAGGATTAGTGATTATTTTTGTTGGGACTATCTCCCAATTTTAAAATCTCTTCCACAATATTAAGAAAGCCTAATACAACCGCTGTACAAATTAATAGCTTATTTGTATTACTGTGTATTATGCTTATACATGTTGATGCTTAATGGTAACACAATAGAATACAAACTTTTGGACTAAAAACATTAGATGGTGCGTGTAAGCTAGGAACTCCCAGGAAAATTTGCCCGTCTTTCCTCTTAATAGTGTATATGAGGCAGTTAGCTGCTACTATGACCATTAATGGTAGCTTTCAACTAGTTTTAACACCCTACTCCGTGCATTTCACACTGAATGATCAATCCTATCAATGGATGGATGCTTTGCAAATGATAGCACTGAAGATCTGATATACCAGCAGTTTGCTTCTCATGAAGGGCAGTCAAGACTGTACTCTGAAGTGGAGATTCAGAGCTCTTTTATTATTGCGTGGGTGATGAGTGAACAAGCATATGACTCACCTGGTGATAGTTACATACAAAGTTCATAGGCATTACAATGAGAATGCTGCCACCCACCTTGAGATATGAGATCAAGCCTCAATTGTATAGAATAGTATAATAGCTATCCCACGCTTCAATCCAGAATGTATTACTGGTTTGAGGCAGAAAGACACTCCACTTGGTGGCGGTATCCACCTGTGAGGACTCACTAGACTTGTTCTGACTTAAAACACATGTTTAATTTAGTAATTATTTCCAATAAACATACAGATTTCTATGTTCACTGACAAGAAGATATGTTTTTCTCATGGGAAGTGCTCTAAGGATTTGTTTGAGATAATCTTGATCAATGGTGACCACTCACAATTTTACATAGCTGGCATGTCGTCACTAGCTACAAATAATATAAATAAATAATTAAATAACATATAAACTTGTCATACTCTCTTGACCCCATATTTCATAATCCAATTACTAATGTAAATAGGATCAAAACCTAGAGACCTGTGTGTTCTACTGTACACGAGAAACAGTGCTAAAACATTATTCTTTTACATCAGATTGTAACAAAAAGTTCTTAAAAATTAGCTATAATGAGAAATAATAGTGGTGAAATAAAACTGACAGTGGTTAGGTACTTGTGATGTGAACAATAATTGGAATTTTATGGATTAGTTTTGTCAAAATGACATTCGAAATATAAGAAAGCCCATAATGCCAAATTACAAAAATATACCATTTAAATTACTGTCAAAACGAATGAGTATGATAAATGTAATCTTCCTAATTCTTACATGTGTGGAGTCATACTATTTACCGTTTGCTTTAATTAAATGGGTTATAATCGTCGCTAAATATAGTGGATTTGTTGAACTCTTCAAATATTACAGAAACCCCAAACCGAATTATTTTATACATAATTTTCAATACAAACTTGAGTTGTTAACTATACAATTTTCGCAAAAAAATGTGATTATAACAGAATCGCATTTAAACATAGTTTTAGCTGAAGAAATGACTCAGGTACTGTTTAAAATAAATTTCAGTTCAGGCGTATTTACTAGAACTATTAAAAGATTTTTTTGAGTTGCAGATCTTAAATTTTATACATAAGAAATACTTTTACTTTTACTTTACTATTATGCAAATCCTATCATCCAAAATGATCCAAATGATGAATGATGTGTAGTAATCGTGTAGTAAAAGTAGCTTGCTCACAGTAGGTAGCAATGTTTTTTTTTTTTTTTTTTTTTTTTTTTTTATTGCCCTTGTAGGCAGACGAGCATACGGCCCACCTGATGGTGAGTGGTTACCGTCGCCCATGGACTTCAGCAATGCCAGGGGCAGAGCCAAGCCGCTGCCTACCGCTTAATACTCTCCACAAGCCTCGTTTGAAGAAGGACATGTCGCCCATTTGGAGACATTTTCATGTCTCCAAATGGGCGACATTCATCTTGAGATATCGATATCTAAGGTAATCACAAAACCTATAAAGACGGTACCTGCTCGGAGCAGATTATGACGATTTTTATTTTAAGGTTCAGCTTTCGCGAATCATAGAGTTAATTAACCCTTTTGCAGCTGAGAGGTGAGTATCGCTCGCCACACGATTTAATTACAAATGACAAAAAGAACGATAAGAACAGATATCAAAAACATCAACAAGATGCCAACCATTAAATAAAGTAACATTAATATTTTATACAGCGCATCGAATTTCCGTACCAAAGCTATGAGCGAAACCCACCCCTCGAGTGCAAAAGGTTAAAACAATTTTAACGGTTTAATCTAGCACTGAAGTTTCATTTCGATTATTGCAATATTTTTTTTATCACAGACGACTGATTCGTATTGGATGGGCAACGTTTCTCTTTAATTAATTTGAATATGAGCTACAATAAATAAATTCACGCGGCATTTAGTGAAGTGACCTATAATAAAGGGCACTCGTAATAAAAGTATCTAAAAAAATAAAACCAGTAACGACGTGAGCAGTAAACTTTACGTTTTGGTTTACTGCACCGTTAACTTCAGATAGATACCTGAATGTTTTTATGACCAAACTTTACTCGCCACATTTTTATCAGAGACAAGTATTATTACTTTTTATTTTTCTTTAACGTATACATAAATCTGTTCGGAATCCAAATTGCTCTGCATACCTTTAAGAGGAAGGAGCGGGTTGAATATCTTCGCAGTAATTAATTACCTAATAAAGATGAAAATGTTGTTTTACTAATAGGATGGTTTGGTTTTGTCTTGTTGCTAAACTTCGTGCGTTTATATGCGTATTTGCCATAATTTATTTTCTACGAATGTACGGTTATAAAAGTTCACATTTCATTGAATTAATCGCTCCTAACAATTATTTAATATATTTTCATTTAGAGTAATATAATTAAAATAATTCATTATAAGTAAAACTATTAGATGTGTCACATAGTTTGGAAAGAGACTTAATATAAAGACAAAGAGACTTAGACACTTGACATAAATTGATCAAAATAATGAAAAAGTCTGATAGGTTAAAATATTTAACCAGTTGTCTGGCCACCCTTTGACCTTTGATATTTTTAGGGGAAAAAAGAGCCCCAAGTCTATCTGCCAATTTACGCCTTTCAAGTAGTAAATTTATTTTCAAAGATGGAAAAAAAGAAAAGTATAAGGTGATTTATTCACCGGGTAGTGAATAAAACAGCCTAACTTTTTTTAAACACTATCAATAGTATCCCCTAAGCTATGGTAATATAGAACAGGTGTGTCCGTGTGTATAAAAGTATAATTTATATAGTTATATACCTTTATACACACGGACACACCTGATCTTTCCACAAATGTTTGCGGAAACGGATCGAAGTGGAAAGTGAACCCACGACCCTCAGTCCAGTAACTAGGGGCGCTAAACAACCATCCATCAGTCAACATGTATTTCAACTCAATTTTCAGCTCAAACGCACGGCGTCTGAGACTAGACTAGTAGGTAGTCAAGGTCCCGCCTCAACCTTTCGATCAAATCATTCCATTTTCTTTTATTCAACTGAATTTAGCACGTGACCGGCGTACGAATGGTCCTTCTGGATCGCTTTCTTAAAATAAGTTACGCATTTGCACGTCTCTGATCTGAGACTAGTTTTTCTTGCCTTTTTTTTCATATCTTTTTTTTTTGCTTAGGTTCAATTACAATGTGATTTTACAAGTTACAGTTTTACCGTTGATACCCCTATGCGAAGTGTTCCGTTAAATCTGTTAATATTACTCGGGAGTTTTTCGATAATATTAAGTAGAAGCTATTTGAGCAAATGTCTTTCAAATTGGGTCAGCGAGTTTCACGGCAGGTCACTTTGTCCTTATAACGTGAAATGGGATTAGTGACACCGCATTTATTAATTACAAGCTAAGACTGGGTTGAAAGAGGAGACCTATTATACTACATGGTTATAAAATAAATACCTTTTTTATTTTATAATTGAAAGATTACTGATGGCCCAGAGTCCAGTTTCACCAGGACAGATGGGCGAGCAAATTCTCAGCCAGGAGGGGTGGGATTTGCTAACAGCTACTCGAGCGCCTCCGAAAGAGACCTAACAGCTCAAGAGCAGCTGCTTCGCGAATGAATCTACTACCGGATCGGAATCGCGACCCGCTGAGAAAATCCGGCGAGAAACTCAGCGGACTGATGCATGGGTTGCACGTCAACCTCTATGTCGAGTTCGACGAGTACGGTTACCGGGGTCCCTAAGCCTGCTCCTAGTGTTGAGCTGAAGACCTCATAAAAGAAATACCGTGCAGTATAACCGTCTCCTCTTGCTACTCATATATGCGAGTAGAAGGCCTAATAATTATCTTGAACCAATAAGTTGCAATAGAATTTCTCTTTGAAACAAAATTTAATCTTAAATTGGTAACTGTAAAGTTTGTTCAGTTTTTGGACCGCATATCACTAATTAGTATCCAAGCAGTATACTGCGTACTATAAATTATTTAAGATTGTTTTGACCTCTTTCAGCTAAGCTATTGCGGGCAAGACTGTAAAAAAATTCCACCGGCCTTACAGAAAATGTATGGTGCCAAAGTGAAATGTTTAGATCTAAGGTAAGTTCTGTAGAATATCTCTTTATAGGATTTCCATAAAAACGGGTAAACGTTAAAATATTCAAAACTTAAACATTCATTCATGACTGATATTGTAGAAATTTATTCAGGACTAGTGGTCGCCCAGCGGTCGAAAATCGACCATAATTAATTGAAATTATAAGTTTGAACATATTATGGTTCTATTATCACATTTCTATATTAATCAATGTTCTATAATCACAATGCTCGCCAAGGCTACACTTTAGACGAATAATATTAAAGGAAAGCAATATTAATCTATTCTCAATTTGACCATAGACTTTAATGGTAGTGTGTGTAATGTTTTTTTTTATTGATTTAATGTATTTTTGTGCATAATTTTAAAGAAATGTTAGCATTTTGCACTCCTCTATATTCTCTATAAGTGTGGGAAATTTCATACTTCTCCGTCCGCGCAATTTTCGTAAATAGCGGTACAAAGTTTTTGCTTTACCTATTAAGTTAAGTATAGTAACTGGAATAGTTTATCATGAAATTCGTGAAGCTTTAAGACATTTTTTTGTATTTAAAAATTAAACATTGGTTTCAAAATCAGAATCCAATTCGCGTACAATATAATCCCTTCCACCGATAAGTGACCGCCCGGAATAATATGGAAATATACATAAACAGGCACTGTTAGTCAAAGCTTATAGCTATACAATGATAAAAAAACAACAATTTTAGGTGATATTTGTTGAAGGTATTGATTGTGATAAACCGACGTAAGAACATAACTATCAAAAAAAAAATCGGTAAATAAGCTATGTCAGTCAGACCCTTCATCATCTGCAAACCGTTCAGTCCCACATACCTCGCGCGCCCCCTAGTCGCAAGGACCTCGTAGGAGGTTTGGCCCTCGGCAAAAAAGGCAGACCCCTCATTGTAGGATTTTTTCTCGGTGATTTTACGTATATTTATTTTCATATTTTTTTGGTCGGTCACTGAACGATGGAAGACATAGTGTATATAACAAATATAAATGTTGTTTTAAAAGAGAAAAAAAAACGCTTTAAATAGGAAGCAGAATTGAAAATTAAAACTATTATATTTTTTACCCCGGTGATTTTTTTTTTATATACATTAATGTATGCTACATTTAAGGTACGGTAACGGTATCTTAAATCTGCATAAATAAAAAACTATATTTCGACTCCGTCGAGCCGAGATAACATTTGCTACAAAGGCATAAAGAATGCGACCGAAAATATAAAAACAAAACCGAATAATTTATTATGACCAGTTTTATTAAGGCCTGTTTATACATTGACATTTTATAACGTTTGTGTTCATATAATAAACTTTGTCCGTTGAAACTATGGGCTTAATTTGATATATAATACGTCTCGAAAACTCATAGCCTCTAAAAAGCGAGTAAACTTTCAGTACTTTTCATATTCATATCAGCATTAGGATACAACGTGAGGCCTCTGCAAATATTTTTAATGGTAAATAAATATGCCTCCCGACCTTATGTAACTTTTAATTAAAATACGAGGGTGCCTGCAAGAGAAATCACATAATCATCACCCAGAAACGAACCTATAAATATAGTTTTTAGTTGACTTTTAAAAAATTTGCTTAAAGAACAGATAATATTGCTATCGTTACGACGACAGCATGCATACTACCCTACATATTATAAAAAATAAACCCTTTTTTTTCACATTTCACAACTAATTCCAGTACATCTATATTGGTATAAATAGTAACTTTTTACTTATTGCGTCCTTTGTATGGCACACGTGAATATTGACGTTACTATTCAATATACTGCATGAAATTATAAAGCTCATAATTTCTCCATTAAGTTGATAATATCGAGGAATGAAAAGCTATTATGGTTTAAGCGACATTTTTGCAACTTTACTTATATAAAGTTTAATGGTAGGCAGCGGCTTGGCTCTGCCCCTGGCATTGCTGACGTCCATGAGCGACGGTAACCACTTACCATCAGGTGGCCCGTATGCTCGTCTGCCTACAAAGGCAATAAAAAAAAGTTAAATTATGAAAAAATATCGTGACAAAAAACTTCTTCAGCTATTTGAGGCAAAACTTAATTGAAGTTCAATTAAAAACATGGAATTGTTGATGGTAACACCAAATAAAACAGATCTTTAATTACAAAGATAAATGTCGCGTATTAAGCGAAATGTCGCTTTAACGAAATAGCATTTCACCCCTCGATATATTGTTTGCTAGCGTCAAAAATTAGTCAAGACTCCGTCTGATATTCAAACCAAGCCATTATGCAAATTGTTTTGTGTTTTAAATCCCGCCAAACGTGGCTTTCAATATGAATAAGTAAACAAGAAAGTGATTATTTTTATTTATTTACAGTTACAACAGTATCGAAACATTAAAGGGTCTCGAACAGTTCGCGAGGCTGGAGGAGTTGATTTTAGACAACAATCAGTTGAGTGACGGAATCAAGTTTCCAAAGTTGCCATATTTAAAAACTCTGTCCCTCAATAATAATCAGGTATTTTACGTTTTACGTTACGTTGGACCGTTTCTGAGGACCGAAATTCGTAATAAGCGGATTAACAAATACATTGAACATTTTAAATTGAGAAAATCCTATTTGTTTGTTAATATATTTTCGCAGCGCGCAATGTAAAAGGATTTAAATTTAAGCGGCGCGCGAGGTTAACGGTCTCGCGTGTTTCTCACGCTTTATCAACTACCTTCGCTTTATTGCGATTTAATGTGAACGTTCTAATATATAATTATTAAGTAGTAGCTGAACAAAACAATAGTTTGTTTTTTTTTCAAATTGGCTTGTATTCGGGAAAGGTTCTCTCAAATACTGCCTATTTAATTTATTTCATTATGAATAGATAGAACAAAAATACTGATCAGAGTGTCAAAATATCTCATAGTAGAAGGAGAATAAAAATTTGTTTCTAAGCATATTATTAGCCGGTAGCCCACACGCGTAGGTATCATCATCCTTGATTTTGCCTGTTGGATGTTCTCATCCTTGCATCCTTTTATCGTTTAAAAACAATTATCCGACAATAGAAGCCTTTTAGTTAACCGATTGTGTTCAATTGAGACTTAAGTATAAATTAAGTAACACTAAGCCTTAAATAAAATTATTTATTTAATATTTAAATAAGTAAATAACGTACAACAAACCTAAAATTACGATAAATATTTGCTTACGTTAAACATGAACTTATTGTATCTATCTAAATAAATCTATACTTTGTTATTTAGTACACTTCTAACCTCGAATAATTCACCGACATTTTAAATGGTAGTTTTATTTTTATTCATAAAAATTTAATAGCTGTTTGAATTTCACATAAAACATAAATTAGCTAAATAATCTATATTCATTTGAAGGTTAGTAGTATCTGCGATCGTTACGCTCTTACGCGATACCGGTTTCAAATGTATGACATTTGAATTTTTAACAAATTTTAAGTTTTCCATACTGAAAATGATATAAAGACAGAATTTTAGAAGGGACAGATTGTAAAATTCCGATCACGAATTGAAAACCAGTTGGCCTTCAGTTAAGCTTTTTTTGCTTAACTTTTAAACGTTTATCCAATCTCGCTGTTAAGTTAGACTCAGTCATTATTAATGACTGACTTAAATTTTAAACTGTTATCGAGGATTCAAGAATGCGCACGACAAACAACCGGTTACCATATTATATTTATATTGATAATTGCATTGTTGACTTATTCATATTTACTTGAGAATTAAAAATAAACAAAATATTACATTTGAATTTGGAATCTGTCATTTTTATATGATTGCTCATTGAGTTTTCTCATTTTGGCGCCATTACATTGTACAATATTTTGCGATATTAAAATGGAGTGGGGTGATAAAGAGAACCGAATCGCTGTGATTGCATTACACAAAGTAGGTATGGGGCCAAATTCAATTTTTAAAACTCTCCATACGCTTGGTATTAGTAAAATGTTTGTGTACCGGGCTATTAATAGGTGCAATGAGACCTCCTCTGTTTGTGACAGAAAAAGATCTGGCCGTCCACGTAGTGTTCGTACGAAAAAGGTGGTCAAAGCAGTAAGGGAAAGAATTCGAAGAAATCCTGTCCGAAAGCAAAAGATTTTATCTCGGGAGATGAAGATAGCACCTAGAACTATATGTGAAAAAAATTTACATTTATGTATGTAAATATAATTTATGCTTTTTCGATTCGTTGATCATTCACGTAGGTAATCATTTAAAAGTTTATTTGTATTGTAGTAATGCGAATCACATTAACAATTTAAAGTTCTGTGTTAGATTTAGGGGGCTGTAATTTTCAGATAGCCAATTTGGAAGATCTCGTTGATAAAATAAGGGAGAACTTCCCCGTGTTGTCTTACCTCAGTCTTCTAAGTAACAAAGCGTGTCCCAACCAACTTTCCGACGTTGACAAAGACGACTCCGACTACCAAAGATACAGGTGTGAAGATTTCCTAAGTTTTTTTATTTTTTTATTGCATAGATGGTTAGACGAGCTCACAGCCCACCTGGTGTTAAGTGGTTACTGGAGCCCATAGACATCTACAACGTAAATGCGCCACCCACCTTGAGATATAAGTTCTAAGGTCTCAGTATAGTTACAACGGCTGCCCCACCCTTCAAACCGAAACGCATTACTGCTTCACGGTAGAAGTAGGTATGGTAACTGTTGCTATAGAATCTGAATTTTAAGGATCAGAGAGTGACACAAGCAACCCCTTTTCCCTGTACGATGCAACGTGTATCATTTTTTTAAGTACCAAATTTATAGTCTAAGCCGCGTGGAGGGTCTAGTTCTATTCTAACTTGGACAGCGCTTATTAACGCAGGTACTATGTAATATACAAGATACCGCACCTACGTTTTTTGGACTCACGTCGCGTCACCACCACTGAGCGCAGGGAGGCGGCAGTGCGCGGTGAGTTCATGAAGGTTCGGAGACCACCAGACGTACCGGACGCTGGACCCTCGATTGCTTCACCGGTCGTAGCCGCCGGAGGTCAACGACCCCTGCCTATTGATCTCTCCGCGGTGGGCAAACACAAAGGTAAGAAGAGCTCTTTGATATTATTTACGGCACTCTTATACGACGAACAAGCAGCAGCTTGACTCTGCCCCTGACATTGATGAGGTCCATGGGCGACGGTAATCACTCACCATCACACGGGCCGTATGCTCGTCTGCCTACAACAGCAATAAAATAAATAAAGATAAATATGAAAATGCTCGGAACTAAATAAAAATAACAATTTTGTTTTTCCTTTGATGTGTCCCCCGTCGGACGCATTCCTTTCGTTTTTTTTAAGTTTATTTTATACAAACGTTTAGGTCTTTTATTTATCGATTCAGGCACTACGAAGTCTGCCGGGTCAGCTAGTGTATAAATATTTAAATTGATTCCGTGATTTAGTCAATCGTAAATGGAACTTCGCCAGATCAAAATAAATTTATTCAAAATAGAAGTAATCGAATAGGTTCGACCGCTAGAGAATTACAAAATAAAATTAACTTATGCATAGAATTCACATTGATTCTAATTGGATTCCATGGTCATCACACACTACCGACCAGTTTGTCTCAAAGAAATAGCTTTGAACGATAACATGGCCTATTGTATAATACTTTAGGACTATTATTGTTTATAGAACTTTTCTTAACTAATTCTGATGTATATTCCGTATAGTATAGTATTCTAAATTTCGCGCGAATAAACAATCTGAACCGAACTAATAAAATTATACGTAATATATAAATTGGCCTAGTAAAGCATTATTTTGTATTATATTTTTTTAATTAACATAAATAGGTAGCGCCAGTGCATTTAGATTTTCAAAAATGAAACAAATCGAAATAAAAATAATGAGTGCCAATACGCAAATTAAAACAATAGTTTGTAGTACCAACATCTAAATAACGATTAAGGCACCATTTCGATAGAACAAACGCGGTCTTTAATTGCTATTTTCACGTACATAATCAAAATTAATTGGTTTGTTCTACTTATTATTTTTAACGCGTTTTCACGAACTCCACGATAAAGGAGCCCTGTGATGTATCCTAAAAAATTGTATAGTTTATGAGTAATTCAATATATTATTATAATTATACCAGCGGACCCGACAGACGTTGTCCTGCAAAAATTCATTCAGGTCAATCCAGTCGTTTAGTTGCAATATAGATAAATAACCTAGATACCGACTGCAGCGCCATCTGCCGGGTTAATTTGTCAATCTAAACCATCCAGGGCGCCGCCCAAATGCATACAAAAAAATCATTTAAATCAATTCAGCCATTTGTTTAGGGGGAGTCCGTGACATACACACGTGTACAGTAGAATTATATATATATAAAGATTAGGATAGGGCGTACTAGGCTATTTTTTCTTCGTAGGAATCTTTCATTCTAGCTTAAAGAATTTCCGGGAGCCGAATGGTTGGCTACGGCAACAATCTACAACAATAAAAAAAGTATCAGTAAACCTGCAATTGTTTTCATTGTCTCGCAATCATGCCTTTCCTGTTGCTTTTTCGTTTCAGCGCACTTCAAATAAGAAAGGTAACAAAAAGTTATCTCTTCAAATCATATGTATACATTAAATTAAATTATCATGTTTCAATAATTCCAGGTGCCTACGGTAAATGTCTATACAAGTACACGGGCAAACATTCAGAAGGAAACAGATTTATTCTCAACAGTGATTTGTAATCGAAATAGTTTTATAAAGAAATAATATAATAATATCCTTTACTTTTTAATTATTTTTTTTTATTTGATACCTATCACTCGTATAAGTCGAAAATTGGGTGACCCATTCGTAATTTCTAACCAAAAAAAAATGGTGTGTATTGTTAATCCGATAGGCAACAAGTTGCTGAAGTGACAACATTCACCTACAACATTGTAAACCATGGGCTCGTTTGCCTTCAATGGTATTTAACAGAAAAAAAAAACGTAAAAAATTAACCTAAAAAAATATTAAATTGTTTCAAAACAGAATCTCATGTATGGTTACAAATAATTAGTGCACTGTCATTTTGGGTTAAGCGTCGTTTCTTTTTCTTTATATTATGTTACTTAAACGGTTTTAGCTAAAATAAAATTACTTATCGGTTGTCTATTGTACTTACCTATGTTTTGTACCCAATAATAAATTACAAATGGGTTATGCATTATTCTTTTTGCACAGGATTTATCAAATTTATTCTAATTGATAAATGAAATATACGTATTATATAATACGCATTTAATGTCGTGTGATGAATATTATTAATTATTGTTCGTAAGATTAAGCATGTTCAATGGAAAATTGAAACATTCCATATTTTTTTTTAATAATTTACATTTTTATTTTATTGTGTTATACCATTTCTTTTAGAATTATGTGACTGAAACAAATGAAGGATTCCATATTTATTTTGGCATTCCGAAATTAATTGTCTTCAAGCATTTTGATACGTTGTTCTTAAACTTTGTACTTAAGTTATGAAAAAAATATAAATGCGAAAATTTTTAGGCAGTCTATAATTATTTTAACTGTCACTTTGAGTATTAACTTAATTATTCTGACTAGTCTTAAGAATCCGTAAGTCTGGATTTCATCCATAGAATGAGGATGATATATTCCCGAATATAAGAAAAGGTTAAGTATCGAACTGTATGTATCCTGCCATAGAAGCTTTAATTATAAGTATATTTTTGTGAAAATACTCAATTTTTTAGTAAAAGCTAGATTTTTTTATTTTGTGTCTAAATAACAAATTCATGCAATACGTTTGGTAAGAAATTAAATAAAACTTAATTGTATAAAAATAAATGCACCTGTTATAAAATTTTGGATGCATTTCAAAAATAATTGACAGACATCAAACTCAAATTTAATTCAAATTAAAAACTTTTGGTTGATAGCATGACCAGAGAGTTGACGAGCATGTCCCTTATTAAAGAAATCAGCAAGTATGTAATGCATGTGCTATCGCCTGACATTGCTGATGTCCATGAGCGATAATGTCTACTCGCCATCAGGCGGGTCGTGTGCTTGTCTAAAAAATAAAAAGTAGTTTATTTTTTAACTGGATATACGCGCTTTGAAAAATGTTAACACTCTCCATTAGCAAGGCTGTCATTATTTCATTGAGATTGAGTTATTTTTGTTTACGCTTGCTTGTAATGTCAATAAAAATGCTTTGTCGCTATTCAAGCGAGGAAAAAATAGAATATTTTTTTCCAGTTTCGGTGGCATTCCCCTTTTAAGACAAAATATACAATTAAAATTTGTTTTTTCTTGCGCTTTTGTTCCTCCAAGATGTATTAGTTGTATGTGTGAAAATGAAATATATCTGCTCGTATAATATATTATAAAGGTAATCTTATTTTGAGATTATATTAAATATCTTGTTATTAATTCAATTCTTGTGCTATTCATTCTAAAAAATATATTTCGGCAGTTGTTTTTTTTTTATTGTTTGTCTAAGTATGTTTTGTTAACAATAAAACGTTTTAACTTGTTTAGTGTTTCTTATTTTTGTGAATATATTTTCAGGATATTTACTGATCATATTTGAAAACCTCACAATTGACTAACCTACCACACTGGCTATTTTTGCCGCGAAGCTACGCACTATGCAGTTTTTTTATTGCAATGATAAGTGAACGATCTCTGGCTCACCTGGTGTTAAGCAGTCAAAGGAGCCCATAGTCCTCTTAAGATGAATGTCGCCATCCACCTTGAGACATAAGTTTGAAGTCTCAATTGCATTGTATAATGGATCCAAACCAGAACGGATGACTGCACGTATTTCTTTAGAAAAATAGATACGTGCCTGGTAGATTTTAAGATCGATATTTTTTAGGCCGCGACAACTTGAAACGTTTCTCCCGCGTGAAAACAACAGAAATTGGGCCAAGTTCTTAACTGAGACTTCATGTATATGTCAGCATGTGCTATAGGGCTACGATAAACCCTTAAGATCACAGCACATTAGACACCCGGCACCCACTCCGCACCGCCTCGTCGCACGGCTTCCATTCGTGGTCCACGGGTGGACGCCGCGTGGTTAACGAGTAGACGTCGCTTGTTCAACGAATTTTCGAGTATTCTGTTAACTATTAGCACATGTCATCCTCGTGTCATTCTTGGGCAGCATTGGCAATGCACAGTCACCGTAATGCAAGCATACGAGCAGCCAGTTGTCACCCGAGTAGTCCGCGCGTGCGAGGCTTACGACGGAGGCGATCCGGTGGTATTACGGAGTTGATGTAGTGAGCACATAGCCATTCTTCTTCTATATCGTTCCCTCACTACTGAGGATCGCGACCACATGCGACGTACTTCCAATGTGCTCGATCATGGGTGGCATGGACTGCATGGTACAGACTACCACCAAGTGCTTCTCTTGCTAGATTTGACCATCTGGCTGGTGTTCTGCCCACGGCGCGCTTGCCTTCTATTCGACCCGTAATTATGAGCTTCTCTAATTCATGTCTGGGAGACCGCATGATGTGTCCGAAGAAGCTCATAACACGTTCCCGGCAGATGGAAGAGAGCCTTTTTCGGATGTCTAGCTGCCTTAGAATGGACTCGTTTGTTCGCATGGCAGTCCACGGTANACTTTGTCGGCAAATGTACCACGAACACAAAAATAACTAAAACGAAACAAATAAAAGCTTCCAGGAAAAACACTTGGTCGGCAGATGTATCACGATCACAGGCCGCGCGAACAATGGCCGGGCTAACAAAATCCGGGCGAACAAAGACCGGGCGAACGAGTGGTCGATGAGCACGTCCGCACGTGACGGGTGCCTCTATCGGAATCGACGAGCCGACACTACGGCTCGACTCGGTCATTGTTGCTCTTTCTTTTATACTACGAGAAACAGGTGCTAAAAAGTGTATGATGACGCTGAGAAGATTGCCTTTTTAATGGAATAAAATTTTGTGAAAGATTATGATTTACAAAAGTCGTCCTTAAGTTAGATGTGTAGAGAATTGCTTAATGAAAATATTTGCATCCTTTTACCATCACACTACACGTAATCGAAACGAAATGAATCTGTATTACCTGGAACTACTGTGTATTAATCTCTTGTATGAACTCTCCCTCGATAGTATTACCTGAGCATTGTGAGACATCGTTCTTTAAGTGTACTCTGAATAAATTCCACAACTGTAGGTCGCGAGTTAACTGTATTTGCAGACGTCCATAAGCTACGGTAACCATTTAGACCACGGCCAAAAGCTTGGCCTATGATAAAATACAAATCTATATAAAATCAATTACTCGTACTTTTACAGATAACGCTTATTGCAAAATATTAGATTCGATTTATTTCATTACGTACAAATAATATAACAATAATATATGCTATAATATAAATACGTAACGATTTACGTAACAATAATATTTTACACTAATGTTACGTGGTTTCACATATAGCGGACATAGTACATTTACGTAACCATACCAGCTATTTAGGTTAACATCCCTCTTATTTAATTACCTACGTCCATTTAAATCACGAAGGATAACATCGGGCCGCTAATTCCGTTTTAATTTGACTGCAGACGTAAAGTTAATTCTGAAAATGGCGCGATACATTCATTCATATCAAATTTAAAATAGCCACGGAACTTTAAGATTAAAACGCCATCGAAACTTAGTTTTGACATATTAAAACTTTACAAGTTACATATTTTATACCCGTCAAACTTTAATAAGAAATAGAATAATATTAACTTTTTTATTTATTTATTTATTACACTTCATGTAAAATTTACATTGGCGGACTTAATGCCTAAGGCATTCTCTACCAGTCAACCAAAGGTAGTGCAGAGTAAATATGTAGTGGTAGGTGCAATGAAATTTATATTGAGTTACAAATACATACACATATACATATATATACATACATACAAATATACATACATATATATATATATACATACATACATACATACATACATACAATAGTTTATACTGGTTTATACAGTATTAAAAGGAATATATTAATAAATTTCTTTACGTTCAACCTTCCTTAAACTTTAGTTGATTGTTTTTCCTGAAAGTGAGTAAGAACGATAAACTAACTTGTTAAGATAGTCATGAATTTTAGTCGATATTTTTAAGCTATAATTAAAGAATAAAAAGTTTTTGCGCCATTGTATTGGTTGTACCTACCTCCTCGTGCGAGCTTAAAATATACTTACCACCAATAAAAGCCGGTTGGCAATCGCCACGGCACAGATTAATAATCTATTCCGTGGCAATCGCAGTACGCTGGTATAATAATACTCAGAGAGCGTGCTGCATATTCACGAGTGAATCCTTTAGTTGCCTTTTATGGCACCCACCGCAACAGATAGAGTGCTATTATTCTAGTCCTAGGCTCTACAGAAAATTGTTTCGAATTGCTGATTGTCCACGTGACGTAATGTATTTATCTAATGGCAGTACTATTTCCGCGATAGACCAATATTTTTTATAATAGCAAAACATGTCAAGAAGTTGACAGAGAAGCTGATAGACCAATTTGCGAATTTTATGTTTTTTTGACCAACCAACCAATTGAACTGTTGGCAAATTTGATCCGTAGTCAATTGCAATAGTGTTGTTTATTCCTCTTGATGAATTAAGGACATTATATTTGAAATAGTAATGGTCAACTAATGTTCCTCCGCTACATGTATATCATTACATCGCTAGATAAAGTATCGCTGTATTGGAACAATTGTATTGGTTTATTGACAAAACTTACCAACTTGACTTTCTACACCAAATAGTTTATCAAATAAAATCAAAATCGTCAATAGGAAGTGGTAAATTCTTACAGTATGCCCAAAATTGTTACTGCTGATTCGAACATATTCGTAATATGTTCAATCTAGTGAACGCTATGTACCTACCTATGCTTTATTAACAAAATAAGGGGTGAATAATTGAAGTCGACAAATTCAATGTATAAGCATTTCATTAACAACATAACAAGATCCAAGTTGATTTCTTCTGTGTCTACAGATATCTTCTGCATAGTTAGAAGAAAAAATAATGAGATATATGATGCATAATTGAAGAGAAAAGACAGATATACGACATTTAATTCAGTTATGTCTCCATTTTTCTTCAGATCAGTTCTTGTCTTGAAACGTTTTTGTTTTGGTTAGAGCCTTACTTTGTTTGCTTTTGACGTTTGTCTTGTTACTACGTCTAATTTCAAATCCAATTAAACTCAAGTTTACGTATTCAATTTTAAGGATTATACTGAGATCGCACAAAGTATTCTTAAATTAACTGAGAAATTAAAAATAGAATTAATAAAATATGTTTCTTATATATGTTATGTTTGGAGGAATACGACAAAGGGAAGATCTTAAACCGGCGAAATTGCTCGGTAGACCGACGGTTTGAATGTTGTTGTTCGGAACTTCTATTTATGCAAACTTAATTGAACTTAGTCGACTTGAAAATGTCGTTAGCGTGAATCTGGCTTCTGTTCCATGGTAGCTACCGCCACGAAGTATTACATTGAAAATTTTTTATACAGTTCGGTGAAATTTTTAGTCCCAAAACACCTTATTGTTAATGCTATGCGTCTCTTTTTTATATTTCAACAGTTCAGTTTTTAAATCTAGTTAGAATTTCTAGGAAAGATCTAAGCCATTCGTTTAATGATAATTCTTCCATGAATAGCTATTTGTGGCTTCATGAACTCCACAACTATCCGTAACCGATTAAGCTCTAAGAGACATTATATTCTGAATTCTTAGTAATTCGTTACATAATTCCAGACAAGGTCTATCGTTATAGGTTTACGTTCTTACTATCACTGCATAGCACATAAAATTAATAATTTCATATTTTATTTTTGTTAACTTAGAGCCGAATCTACTACGAGATTCTCGCAGTGAGGAGATTCCCTAGATTTGGATTTTTCTGGACTTTTCGTTCGAATCTATGTTAGGCCTTCATCAGAGCAAATACGAACTTTTTTGGCTGAGCCCCTAATTCCTGGTACCTGGGTACCTGGTTAAGCTAAGAAAGGCAATCCCTCAAACTTAAAAAAAAGTACCACCAATGAGAGATTTGGGAACGAAGTTTCAATTGAATTGTATAACGACTGTTCACACACTCGGCTTTCTAACTTTAGTATCATCAAGGCTCAGTATCGGCGATAGACACCGCCATTTTTTAGATGATAGTAATTACTTTCAAAATACTTTTTGTCCGCGTGATTTTTGTAATAGCGATTCAAATTCAAAATCATTTATTTCAACTTAGATGTCAGTATGACACACTTGTTGAATGTCAAAATACAGATAACAATGTTAACTCTACCACCGGTTCCAAAAAAAGCCACAGTCCTGAGAAGAACCTGCGAAACAAACTCAGCGGGCTTTTTTTTTGTTTTTTCTCAAATATTTTCTTTTTTTTAAATAAATAAAA